AGGCAGTTGCTGGTTTTCTTTCCCAATTCTTTCCAAGTAGGTTATGTTTGCTGCTCAAATTCCTGAGCCAGATGTGGGGGTGTGTACATTCCCAAATCCTGAGTGTTCTGCCTTTCCTTGAGTTTTTAGACTAGGGACACCTTGGCTGAGGAGGACACAGCCCCTGTCTAGGTTTTTGTAAGTGTCTTAACTGAAGTTCAAACCTCCAATAAACCGAGTCTCTTTTTCTACTTAGTAAGCAAGTATTAAGCTTGGGTTAGGGGAAGGTCTGTAACGGGAAACAACGTCCTGTCTTTTCCTTTTCTTTCCTCCCATTGTTGTCAATAACTTTTATTGACCAAACCCCAGATTTGTACTTTTCTTTTTTCTGACTTCTAAAACAATTTTTTTCTCCCTCCTGGTTTTACTGTAACATTTGGGAAAGGAACAGATGTCATCCCTTAAAAAAAGATAAAATCGAATTTTCTCGTTGGACCCTGCGTCTATTCCCTTGCCGATCTGGCTTCTGCTCCGCCCCCTAGTGGTGGCTCTAGTGGTGCCTTAAATGTTAAGGCATTTCCTGAAATGCGAAGTTGGTGAGTCAACTTCATTTACATACCCACAATGCATTGCATTCGGGAGCGCGCCTACTTTAAAGACTAGATCCTTTTTTTCCTTTTTATTTCTCTCCTACTTCTGAAAAATTAGGATATTTTCATAGAATTATCTGAGATAAGGGCAGAACTTACTCGCTTTTTGGGCGGGTATATAGTTACCATTGCTGTCTTAGGACTTATGGTTAACCGAGCACTGTGTGCCGGAAGTTTGCAGCATACTCTGGTTTCTCTTCAGATCGTATAAATCTTTCGCCTTTTACTAAAGATTTCCGTGGAGAGGAACAATTCTGAGTCTTAAACCAATTTTTTGAGGCCTTGCTTTTGCGAGGCTCATAAACTTGTTTAAAAATAGACAGTAACTTAAGCATAGTTCAGTCTACTTTCTGAGCATGTACGCATTTGTAGTACTTGCATAAGTTTTGTTTACCGTTTGTCTGGAGACAAGCAATACAAAGCCATCTTTGAGATAGAAGAGGTCTCAGTGATAAATCGGCCGCTTAGGATTTCTGTTTTTCTCCCAGTGATCGCGCAGTCATGAACGATGGGAACACATTATCACAGAAGTGGAAGCTACATTTTGTCATGAAGGCTTAAAATTTGTTCTGTGAAGGCCACCGAACATAAATTTGGACGCTTTTCTGTGCCTGGCACGGGGCTTGGCATAGAAGAGTCACTTGTTCAATAGGTGTTTGCTACTTGTGAAAAATCCGATTAACCTGAGTTAAATTTCAGGCTTTTCTGTTCACGATTTTCACGAGGGAGATAACCTGAGCATAGCAGGCAGGCAAGAACCCCACCCACTCTGGGGCTGTGGTTTCTAATTAGTGCACTTCGTGTATACTTTAAAATTGGAAATCCTGGAAATTCCTTGATGGTTCAGTGGTTAGGGTTATATGCTTTCTCTGTAGGATGTACAGGTTTGAGCCGTGGTTGTGGAGCTAAGGTATTGAAAGCTGTGTGGCACAACTGGAAAAAAAATAAATCCTCAAGATTATCTGTAATTTCCAGTTTTTATTCGGATCAAGACAGCAAGTTTATTTTTAATTTATTATTATTTTTTTTAGGTTCTTTTAGTTTTAATACTAGTCTCTGACATTATAAAACTTTGCTTTTGTTTTTTGCCCTTTGAGGATCAAGACAGCAAGTTTAAAAAAAAAAATTGCTATAAATTTGAACTTTAAAAATAAGCTTATACTACATGACAGCTGGGCTTCCCCCATAGCTCAGTTGGTGAAGAATGTGCCTGAAATGCAGGAGACCAGGTTCGAGTCCCCGGTCAGGAAGGTCCCTTAAAGAAGGAAATGGCAATCCACTCTAGTCTTGCTTGGAGAATCCCATGGACAGAGGAGCCTGGCAGGCTACGGTCCATGGGGGTTGCAAGAGTTGGGCACGACCAAGCCACTATCACCAACCACCACATGACAATCAAGTGCAAATTAATACAAACCTTAACTGGATACTGAACAAAAAACAAAATTATAGTTCTGGAGGTCAGAGATCTAGAATTAAGGTGTTGACAGGGGTGCATTCTTTCTAGAAGCTTGGGAAGTCGGGGGAAGATTCTATGTCTTTGCTTTTAGAAAGCTGCCTTCATTCCTTGGCCTGTGCAACCTTCCGTGCATTACTCTAAACCTTTTGCTTCTGTTATGTCATCTCCTAACTAACTATGGATTGTCCTGCCCTATAAAGACCTTTGTACTCATCTGGAACCCACCTAGATAATCCAGGAGGATCTTCCCATCTCAAGATCCTTAATCACACCTGTAAAATTCCTTTTACCACATGAAGTAACACATTTACAGGTTCTTGGGAATAGGATGTAGATGCATTTGGAAGCCATTACTTAGACTACCACAATAATGATACAGTAATTATGTAGGAGGATGTCCTTATTCTTAGTAGAAACATAATGTGAAGTTTTTAGTAGTCAAGTTTTTAGTTGTCAAATGTCATATCTGAAACTTTCAAAGAGCCCAGTAAATAGAAAATGTGTCAAAGGGTCTAGGTATTCACTGTATTATTCTTTCAACTTTTTTGGTAATTTTGAACTTCTGAAAGTTAAAAGTTGGGGTGGGGGATAAATGTATATTAATATATTTCATGTAATGTATATTTGTTTTAGATATTTGTAGTATACTTAAGATTTCATTTTAAAACATTCCATTGTTATTAAACTATTATACCAGAGTTTTGGATTTTTTCCTGTATTTTTTTTATTTTCTAATTATTAACATTTCCAAAAATTTCTGGGGTACTGTTTTTAAAATAATTCTATAAAAAGAAAGGTTATTTCAAGACTAAAAACAGTAAGAAAGACTAGACACCAAAGGACAGGACATATCTTTAAAACAGGAAATTCATTTAGCTTTAAGGAAAACATGCAGGGTATTTTGTTAACTTTTCTTTCCTCCCTCTGCCCAAATAGAGGAAAGTGGAGGCTCAAAATCCCAGTTAGGGGTGAGGCTAGGTAGTCTTTGACGACAACATCGGGGCCAGTGCTGCCCTCTTGTGGCATCCTAGAGAATTACTGCCATTTGATTTCATTTCCTCTGACCTTGAGGGATGATTCCCTCACAATAACTCAGTAATTCATTCATGTGTGCCAGGCACTATTCTCAACATTTGGGAAATATCAGTAATGAAAACAAATATCCCTGCTCTACTGGAGCTTACATTCAGGTAGGGAGACAGATAATAATAAAAAAAATACATAAATAAGTGATAGAATAAACAGGTGAGTAGCAGGGGTTAGGCATTAAGAGTACAGGGACTGGTAGTGTGGGATGCACCTAAAACAAAAGAGTAACCCTCATTGAAAAGCTGACTTTTGTGTAGAGAATTGAAAGAAGGTGAAGAAATCAGCCATGCAGATTTCTAGGAATGGGGTGAGAGTTCTAAGAATAGAACCTCTTTCAAGCGTTCAACAGAAAAGCCTGCACCAAAGTCCTAAATCATGAGTTTCTTTGTCAGTTTGAAGAACCACACACTGCCAATGCAGGAGACACAGATTCAGTCCCTGGTTCAGAAAGATCCCACATGCCCCGGAGCAACTAAGCCTGTGTGCCACAACTATGCCGCCTATGCTCTAAGGCCTGGGAATAGCAACTACTGAGCCCATGTGCAAAAACCACTGAAGTCCTAGAGCCTGTGATCTGCACCGAGAAGCCACCACAATGAGAAGCCTCAAGATCGGAGAGTAGCCCCTGCTAAGATAATGTCTTAGGAGATAACCTTCCTTCCTGATCTTGTAAGGGGCCATGATGACCCAGGACCGACTACTTGCATTGTAGGTGTGAATGGCATTGTATACATCATTTATTTATTTATTTTTGTATACATCATTTAATGTACAGCCTTCTGTCTCAAAAACTTATATAACTGAGCTTTGACCTCTAACAAGTGGAACAGTTCTCAGAGCCTTCTGAGAGGCTGTTCCCAGTTTATAATCCTCAATTTGGCTAGAATAAAACTTTCCATTTCTTTCTTAGATCTACTGATTAAATTTTTCGTTGACAACAAAATGAGGTGGAAACGTTTAGCTGGAAAGAGAAATAGGGGAGTCATTGTATATAAGTGGTATTTAAAGTGATAGGGGGACTTCCCAGGCAGTCCAGTGGTTAAGAGTCTATGCTTCTACTGCAGGAGGCACGGATTCTAACCCTGGTCAGAGAATGCCTCATGACATGGCCAAACAAAATTAAATTAAATACATAAATACAAGTTAAAAAAATTAAGTGATGGAATCACCAGGGTGTAAATATAGAGAAGAGGCTCAAGGTCAAAGTCCTGCCTCCCTCTACCTTGAAGGAAGCTGGGTTGAAAAGGAGGAATCCATAAAAACGCTTTCCAGGTGGCTCAGTGGAAAAGAATTCGCCTGTGATGCAGGAGACACAGTGATGTGGGTTCAATCCCTGGGTTGGGAAGATGTCCTGGAGGAGGAAATGGCAACCCTCTCCAGTATTCTTGCCTGGGCAATCCCATGGAAAGAGGAACCTGGCGTGGACTACAGTTCATGGGACCGAAAACAGTTGGACATGACTGAGCCTGCATGCTTGATCAATCGGCATAGAGAATGAAAGAAAGCAACCAGAGAAGCAGGAGAGAACCCAGGTGGGTGTGGTGTCCTGGAGGTGAGAGTGCAGGGGCCAGCAGGGACTGGAGGTAAGGCCCAGTCCTCACGATACTCCTTGAATCTTCTAGGAGGTTGGTGGTCCTTCCCTTCTGACCAGCTTTTTTCCTTGATGAGCAGAGACACCCTGGTCCGTCATCACAGCTCTCACTGGATCTCCCTCTGCCCTCCACACATGGACACCAGACAGACAGCAAGACTTGTTTATTGAAGACTTCCCAGCCGGTTCTCTCTCTCCCCCACTGGAGGGCAGAACCCCCAGCTTCCCACCGAGGCTAAGAGGAATCAACAGGAGCTTGACTGTGACTCCTCCCTTCTGCCAGGCTTCCCTGCCACATAGCCTTGGCTTCCTGGCTTGCCTCCGAGGCTCCTTTCCCCTCCTCTTCCTCCTTTTCTTCCACGTCCTCCTTCTGGAAGTGTGTGATGTAGGCCACCTGATCCTCATTAGGATGGCCAACGTAAAAGCTCATGTCGCTGTAGGAGAGGCCGCTGAGGTGCAGCGCTGGAGGCAGGGAGATGAGCCTGAGACTGGGTGCCGCTGCACCTCTGGCCCAGGCCCCCTCGCTCCCCACTCACCTCTGGCGACATTGACTTTGTTGGCCGCCAGGATGTCCGCCTGAATGCTATCTATTTTCATGTACAGATTCTCGGCATTGCTCTGGGGACAGAAGCAAGGGAAACCTGGCTAGATGCCAGGGGAGCCTGGACTTGGAGTTGGGCGTGGGCAGAGGGAGGCTGCAGGCTGCAGTCAGGCTCTTAGCCTGTCAGGATGGGCCGGAAAGGGAACGGAAGGGTGCCTGGTGGAGAAGCCCAAGCAGAGCAGTCCCTTCCGTCGCCCGCCCCAGCCGGATCTTGTGTGGGGTGTCCATGGAGCGGGGAGGGGAGGGCGTGAGCTGCGGCAGGCGCAGGGCCACGGTTTTGTCCCACTTACTAGGAAGAGCTTGTAGAGTTCCTCCCCCATGGTCTTGCGCACGTGCTCCTCCACCACCTGGAATAACTCCACGAAGTACTGCGGTGGGCGGGCGGGGATGGGGCGTGACTGCAGTGCCCGCGCGCCGTGCCCGCCCGCCGCCCCGCCGCCCCGTTCACCTTCAGCGTGAGGCTGGCCTGCCGCTGGCTGTTGCTGTGATCCGTGTTGCCCATGGCGGCCATCAGGCTGTGTACCACCCGCAGGTGCAGCATCTCCTCGGCCAGGGTCGTGTTGTGGCGCGCCAGGATCCTGGGCGGGGGTGGGGGTGGGATTCGGGCTGCGGTGGTAGGGTGGGACCCTTCGGCGGCTGGAGCCCTCCCCCAGCGCGCGGGCACCGCTGAGCCCGGCTTGCAGTATCCGCCCACCACCTGCGGCCCGCTTACCCGATGGCCTTGGCGGCCGCGGCCTGCTGCAAAAACAGCGGCAGGTGGGCGGTGAGCTCGAGGACCGAAGAGTCTGGAGGAGGGAGTGGCCGTGAGCTTGGGAGGAACCCGCCTCTCCCTCCTACCCCGCCAGGGCCCATCCCCCAATCCAAGCGGATCCCTACCGCTGACGATCTCGGAGTGCAGTTTGCTGGTCTCCTTGAAGGACGGTATCAGTAGCGCTACGAGGCCCTTGAGCAGCGCCGGGCGCACGTCGTAGTTGACCAGGTCCTTTATCAGCTCGATGGCTGGGGAAGGCAGAGGCGCTGGAGAGGCCGGCCGCTCCACTCACTCCCCACCCCCGCGAGGAAGCACCCTCCCCCTTCTTTATCGACCTTTCGTAGCACCTCTTTCTGGCCCAACAATGTATCAGGCATAGGGGCAGCTGGCCCTGCCCTCTTGGAACTGGTGGTTAATGGAGAGAGCGAGGAGGGGGCCGAGGTCCCCCGGTAATTAACAGAAGCAGCTAGAGCGGGAGGAGGAAGCGTTTGAGGCTTAGAGGCTGAAAAAGCTGAAGGCCGCCCAGAGGCAGGGCCGCCTCCCGCCTTTGAGGAATCTAGTAGATTTTGTGGAGGAGGGAGACAGGATGGGGAAAGACTGGGTGTGAGAAGGAGACAGAGCAGGTGGGTCGGGATGTGTGGCAGAAAATGAGAAAAGAGGCAAGGCTGATAGAAGTTTAGAGAAACGGAGTTTCTGACGAACCCTTGTCGAGGCCTTGTTTGCCCAGGCTCTGGGCTGAGCGCTCTCGGTATCCCACCGCCGCTCGCCGGCCGGGACCGACGAGGTCCGCTTTGCACCAGCACGACGACTGTTTATCCCCATTTTACGTTTGAGGGGATCAGGCACAGAGGGGGAAAGCACTTGCCTAGGGTACCACAGCGAGGTAGTGGTGGAAGCAAAAGGAGGGAAAGATTGGGTTAGGAAGGAGGAGGGGACTAGAATTTATTGAGGGGATTTTCTGTAGCTACTTCCCAGTCGTTCCAACTTTGACTCAGCCTTTCGGCCAATCTGGATAGGAAGCCGACTGTGCCCCTAGACCAGTTTGGTGATAAGTGCTGTAAACGGGGTCCGTGGGCTGTGGGAGTACCTGGGAAGATGGCGGAGGGCGGAATATTTTTGTAAGAAAAAGGAACCAGAGGGAGACAGAGATGGATGGTAATGCGGTGGTACACTGGATAAACACGGCGGGTGGGGTGGGGTACGGCGGGGCTTGCAGCGTGGAAGACAGAAATGCTCTATCCTTCAGCTTGAGAATCAGGGCCACCAGTCTCTCCACTTACTCCGAGGGGCAAAGTTGTTTCCCTGATTAGCTTATTTGCATATCAAAATGCAACGTTACATTATCTGTTTTAATAACTAAAGTTACCCGTTTTATTTTCTTGTTAGGACATCTTACCCAGTAAGAACATGGTGATGGTGATGGTTTAGTCGCTAAGTCATGTCCAACTCTTGCGACCCCATGGACTGGAGCCCACCGGGCTCCTCTGTCCATGGGATCTTCCAGGCAAGAATACTGGAGTGGGTTGCCATTTCCTTTTCCAGGGGAATCGTCCAGACCCAGGAATGGAACCCGGGTCTCCTGCATTGCAGGCTGATTCCTGCATTGGAGGCGGATTCTTTATTGACAGTTACCAGGGAAGTAAGAACAACTTAGGGATAATTCTCTACAATGGAAGAAAGGCTTTTGTTGGTAGATGCAAAGGGAACACACGTCATAAGGGTGTATCTGGGAGAATGGGCACTGATGGTAGAGAAATACATGCTTTCATGGTTCACTTTCTCCTCTGGTTACTTTTTATGTCTTAGCAAAGACTTCCGTGAAGAAGAACAATTGAGACTGGTGGTGTGATCTTTTGAGGTTTTACTTATATGAAGCTAAATATGTAGACTTTGTGGACTTCCTAGGTAGCTGAGTGGTAAGGAATCTATCTGCCAAGGAGACAGTTTCAATCCCTGGGTCGGCAAGATCTTCTGGAAAAGGAAATGGTAACCCACTCCAGTATTCTCTTGCCTGGAAAATCTTGTGGACAGAGGAGCCTGGTAAGCTACATAGTCCATGGAGTCACAAAAGAGTCAGACTCAATAAATGAACAACAATTCCTGATGTGTAGAAATAGGTTCTGAAAAGTAGAAGGTATGACCAACTTGCATCAGAAGACAGTTTCAAGTTTAAGCTGTAGGTTGGGAAATAGGCTGTCTGGTTCCCTGCCCCCAGCTGTTAAGTGAGGTTCTACAGAAATTATTGGGCTTCTCTGATAGCTCAGTTGGTAAAGAATACGCCTGCAATGCAGGAGACCCTGGTTTAATTCCTGGGTTGGGAAGATTTGCTGGAGAAGGGACAGGCTACCAACTCCAGTATTCTGGCCTGGAGAATTTCATGGACTGTATAATCCATGGGGTCACAGAGTCAGACACAACTGAGCGACTTTTTTACTTTTCTTTTTTTCTACAGAAATTATATAGCAAGCTTACTTGTGAACATAGGTGCAAAAATTCTTCACAAAATATTAGCAAATTGAATCCAGCAGTATGTAAAAAGAATAATGTACCATCTGGGAATGCACATATATCATCTTCATAGAAAAAAAAGTTTGACAAAATTAAATCTCAATCTGATAAGAGCTATCTATAGAAAGCTATATATATATAAAAAAAAGAAAGCTATAACAAGCATCATACCTAATAGATGAAACATTGGAAACTCTCCCTTTTGGATGAGAAATAAGGCAACCTCCCATACTTTCCTCTCCAGGAAATCTTTAGTAAAGAGTAAAAGATAAATCATCTGAAGAGAAACCAGAGTACACTTAGCTACATTTGCCACTGTTTTCTTAACTGATTATAACTCTCCAAGACTGGAATCTATTCTTGTACTATGGCCACGCCTCCAGAAAAATCTGTAAAAGAGAATTTTGGAAAAGATATACTATCTTTTTCCAATCTCTGGAAGAATTTGTGTAAACCTAGAATTTTTTTTGTTGAATGTTTGATAGAATTCTCTGAAGCTTCTGATCCTATGGAAAAATTACTGATTAATTTTCTTTAATAGTTAGAAGGCTATTTGGGTTTTCTACTTCTAAGTCTGTTTTAGTAAATTTTATTTTCTAGCTGTTTTCATCTAAATTTTCAAACATACTGAAAGAAGTTTTCATTATATCATTAAAAATCATTTTAATGAATGTACCATCTATAATGATGTCACCTTTTAAATTCTTAGTATTGATATTATGGGTTTTCTTTTTTTTTTTTTTTTTGTATCAGTTCCCTTTGCCCTCATATAGCGTGGAAGTAACATAGATGGATTTCATTACAAAGAGCAGTCCTAATTTCAGAGAACCTGAATGCTATATAGTAGTCAGTAAGCATGCCCACCCTTTGCTATAAAGGGGGAAACTATATTTCCCAAAGCTGTTTGCCAAACAGACATCCTTGAAAATGTAGTCTGGAATGAAGAGCAGTAAGTATATCATTTACAATATATGCAGAAATGTGAAAGACCTGTCTCTATGGGAATTGTCTCCTAGGATTATTTTTCTTTTCCTAGAAATAACCCTTTAGCAGACATACTGGCTCTGTTCCTGAATTTCCAGGGAAAGCATTCAGTCTTTCATTATTAAGTATGTTATCTGTATATATATATTTTTCCTGGTAGATGCCTTTTATCAGGTTGGGAAGTTCTCTCTCTTTTCCCTTGTTTTTTTTTGGTCATGCCATGTGGCTTGCAGGATCTTAGTTCCCCAACCAGGGATTAAACCCAGGCCCTTGGAAATGAAAGTGTGGAGTCCTGACCACTGTACTGCCAGGAAATACCCAGGGAGACTCTTCTCTAGTCCTATTTTTCTGAGAATTTTAAATTACAAATGAATGTTGAATTTTGTTACATGCATTTTCTGCACTGATTGATATAATAATGTGATTTTTCTTCTTTAGCCTGTTAACTTGGTAGATTAAATTGGTTGATTTTTGGGATATTGAACCAGCCTTGCATTGTTGGAATAAACCTTACTAGGTCTCAGCCTGTTTTTTCCAATCACAGAATCAAAGAATTATTCTCCCAGCAGTAAAATTCTCAAGGGTGTTTGGTACTACCTCTTCCAGTTCTTGGCAGTCTGGGAGCAGGCCTTCTGGGGCAGCCCTTTTCCCTTGTGGGCCAACCTGATTCAGAAACAGCTGGCCACTGCTTCTGCACTTTCTCTTGCATCCAGTTCTACTGAGGTAGCCCTTGCAATCCCAGCTATGCTTCACTCCAACCTCTGATTATTCAGGTGTGGTTCTAATTTGGAATTACAGAGACAGCAACAGTGTGGAGGGAGAGCCAGCAGCACACTGAGCCTCCCTGGATTCCCCCAAACACTTTTCCACTTGGACAGAAATGAAGCCTGGGATGCCTCTGGACACTTGGCAGCTCTAGCCTAGTGCCACAATCCCCAAGTCTTTCTCACTTGTTCTTTTATTGTTTGGTCATGAAACCTTTTCTTCCTTTTTCTTGAATTAGTGCTGCTTGGTTTTGGGGTCTGAGTAGTTATTTCCTCCTTATATCTGACTACAGGGGCCTGGTCAACTACAGCAAAACTCTCAGTACTAGCTGGGTATTTGTCAGGCTCGAGCTGGTGGCATCTTAGTGCCAGGATGCCCTGGAAAAACTGCCTCCCTGTACCTCAGAGAGTTCTTCCTGCAGCAAGAAATGATTCAGTGAACATTTAGGGTAAAAATGAATGGATGAAGATATTTCAGTGATGTTTCCCTGACCAACAATGGCATATTCCACCCACATGGGACCAAGCACTTCAGGAGACAAATATCTGGTTCTGTCTGTTCACTTTAGACCAATGCTTGAGGCTTAATTGATTATGTATCTGCTCCTTGATTATGCATGTAGATCCTTTACAGAATAAAAATTTATTCACTGAATCACTTTTGATTGAGTTTTAAATTTCACAGCAGTCACTGTTTACACACAAAGTGGAAGTGCTAGTTCCTGCCCAAATGTCACCAAAAGAACCAGAGCCAGTTACAACTCTATACCCTATACATCGTCTCGGACTCATTCAGAAAGCAGAAGGAACAGGAACAGGAGACCTTTGGCAGCTTTGCCTGAAGCCTGTGGTGCTGACAACATCCAACTGGCCTAAACTGAAGCTGCCGTGGATTTATTCATTGGTTGATTCATTCATCTAACAAAATACTTCTTGAGCATCTTCTCTGTGCCAGATCCCTGTGCTAGGGCTATCAGGAGGCCTAAGATACA